AACTTGTATTGCCTGAGGAATGCATCAAACAGCTCTTCCAAGTCTCAAAGAGGTTAATCTTCTTCATAATGTACCATTGCAATGCGGGGCCAATTAGACTCGTTTGAAATGATTAGATCATCAAAGGCACGTTGTAGATGTATTGGGTCATCCGAACTACGTAAGTTGGCAAATGAATCTTCAGGCAAGAAGTGCTGTCATACTTCTTGAACTCAGGCATTTTAAAATTCTTTGGCACCTTGACCGTAGCATATTGAGGGACAAGTCAGCTGGGCCTTGAGTTTGCAATCGTTGCAATTAGCTCAATTTCTCTTCAACCTTCGCAAAGCACTTATCTTGCTCAGTTTTCGGCATATCGACAGATTTCGCTTTGTCGACTTGAGGAGGGTCCTCAATCAATTCCGGCATGTCATCATCATCAAGAAACATGCTTTTGCTCTTATCAGTTGTTTGCTTCGGCATCACAACCTGAGTCTGAGGTTGAGTGGGTACAAAAGTGAGATTGGTTTGAAGAGAGTCCAGCTGTTTCGACAGTTGTTGAAGGGCAATGAAGACTTGCTTCATGTCATTCTCGATATTAACAACACGGTTATGCACTTCACTTAGTTCAAACATTTTGCCTTAGAACGCATGCGGATGGGTGAACGTCGACGATTCGTAATCACCTAGTTTAAAGAAAATAAGCACAAGATTTCAATAGGACCGGTCCATGACAATGGTCGAATCTCCCATTTTATTTATTTTATGAAATTGTTTGTACACTAATGAAACTCCTAAAAATGAAATAGGAAAGTAAAGACTTCTAACTTCCTAAACATGAACTAAGAAAGTAAAAACACTGATAAAAAAATCAACAATTTGAGCCATTTTCCAATAGCTCGATCAATATACAATTGGGAGATGACTTTCCGACGTAACCGCTTATTTTCTCGATCTACCATGTAGCACGCTCTTGGGCTTGTTCCACTTTCCTCTTGAGGCGCTTAATCTCCGCTCACTTGGTGGGTTTCATGGTCAGTTCGGGTATCGCGGGACGCAGATTGGCCAGAATTCCATGTCGACAAATGCAGTGAGTTGAGGCATGGTAGATCTTCTCTTTCCCCTCCAATTCATCCTCGAGTCAAACTAGCTTTTGTGGGCGGCATACATTCCAAGCTAGATCGAAAGATGGATGTCATCTTTGTAATCATGATCCTTGTGAGTAAACCTGACTTGGGATGAGTCTGTCCGGAGCGTCGGCGGAACATCTTGTAAAACTTTGTATTGTTGGACCACTCGATAAGGATAGTAACTCGTCGCACTAGTGATTCCTGGCAGTGGAATTGGACCATCATCTCCATGTGAGAGGCGTGCCTCACAAACTCGGAAAAATTTGGCATGCAATAGGAAACCTTTGGGACTTGGGTTTCTTAGAAAAGCTATCCATTCAAAATAAGACAAATCTGGTGCATTGTCTTTTAAGGTTTCAAACTTTTTGATTGGCTTATTAGAATGATTCACTTCATTTATGCCCATGTGAATACCAAACCCATTTGTGTGAGAAAAGAACCAAATTTGCAAGAGTTCAGGTGGAGCATGAAAATTCTTTTCCCCATTTTCTTTGAATCGAGTGAGAGATAGGAATGTTTTGCCTAAAATAGTGTTAACAAAATTCATCCAAGCACATACTTGTTTGACTACCCTTGCAATCGAAGGATTAATAGCATTCTTAAGGTGTGGGAAAACTACAAACCCAAAGAAAGTTAAGTAAAAGATCCTACTTATTTGAAATGTCAAGAAATTCGAGAAACATTCAGTTTGGAAATAGAATGAGCATGCATTGTAATATCCTTCAAAACTCTTCTCATTTTATCCTTTTTAATTCTTAAGAAATCAAATAGGTTGATATAGGCTCTATTCCGATAAGCGGACTTACCAATTCGGATTCCAAAGGTTTTCCGATGGCAATATTATACTCTTCCAAAGTTGTTGTCAGCCCATGCTTACAGAATATGAAGGTAGATGTCTTAGGGCACTAGAAATGCGATAGTGCTTGCATAAGACCATTTTCGACGTTGATATCAAGAAGAGGGAGGAGTCGGCCAAGCTTGGACTCTACAAAGTCACAGCCATCTTGGTCTAACTTGTTCCACCACATTTTGAGCTAAGTCTAGGGAGCGGTAATGAGTCGCATGTCCGATCTCCTCATTTTATATAGACAAAGACACACTATTGACCTTTTGTCATGGACCAACATAAAAATACAACAACGTAAGTAAATTGCATAGTGAACGGATAAAAACTTACTTCGCCAGAGACTAATGGCAAACACATAAACATGCACATGAGATGTGGGTTTGAATTCTAACTAAACGGCTTAACAAAGTGGGACCAATAGTATGATCAAACCAGCCACTTGCTTGTGTACTAAAGCCAGGTCCTCTTAGATCTGGCTCGGTCAAAAGGAAACTCAATTGTCACAAATGTCTACGGACAAAGGTAAGAACTTTTGACACCAAGAAAGGAATGTTTGGGGATGAGAAGGGCAACCTCTACTACGCATGCCTCCATTCAAAGTAGTATCCTTGTCAACATCATCCAAAATATCATAAGGGGCCTAGGTCCAGCGGCAGGTTGTGTGTGTAATAGTATAGTGCTAAAGCATTAAAGCATGCATAACAGATTATAAGCAAACACTGCTTCAATAGCCGAAAGGTAACCATTCATTCTCAACTCCAATTTGGCAAGACAAAGGTTAATAAACACTCAACCCTTTACAACTCCCATATTCAAGAACATTTAACACAATATTAGGGACGTACCTTGCCTCCACGCTGCCAAACAAAAATATTTTTTGAAAAAGAGAAAGTTTAGGCCTAAGTACACTATGAAATTTAATTGAACATCTTTAGCGGAGTAGCCAAGCTGTTGCGACCTTCCCTTGGGTGAACCGCCCAGGGGGAATAACTAATAGATCACTTAGCTTACACTTAGCTCGGGCTCTCTTAAGCCCATACCAACCGCAACTTTCGAGTTTTATTAACATGCAAAATCAATTTATTCAAGAGCCGTCACTAATCTATTTTTTATGGGTTGATTAGATACCCAAGTGTAGGGGAATACTTTACTTCAGTAAACCAGAGATATCATGGATATGGGGACTTAATTACGCTAGATTACTTTAACGCCCTTTCAATACATTTTCTCTTTTATTTTCAAAAAATATTTTTTGCAAGCAACTTGGATTAATTTTAAACCTAACTACTAACATGTGAGGGGTGATCACATGGCAATCATTAAAGTAGCAACTAATAATCAAGACATTCAAATAAATAAATCACTAAAAAAATAAGGATTGAAACACCTCGAGTTAAATGATTTTCTAAGTATGAGTAGAGCACTAAAACACTATACCCAGCCTAACTATGATTTATTAACTAATCAACATCTTTTGGGTTTTTCCTTTATTTTTGAAAACTAACAATGTGAAACTCTAATCTAGGTTAAACATGCATGATTTATTACTCAAATGACAAGTGACATGATCTATTCTAATGACGGACAAAAATTAACATAAAATATTCTAACATGACGTGCATTCTAAATTAATGAACTCAAACATGCAATCCCTAAATGACACGGAATTGATGACATGACATGGATAGTGGCATGGCGATGACATAGAGATGACATGGTAAGCATGATGGCGTGGCATAAACAACATGGCATAGATGACATGGCACAATGACATAGCAAGCATGATGATGTAACACATATAGATCACGTGGCATGATGACATGGCATTGATGATGACAAGACAAGTAGTGATACATCTTGATACATCACAGTGCAGTTCTTCCAAGCCACAATAAACATCACACTTTTAGATTTGTTCACCATCACTAAGGTCCATCCAACTGTTCACCTTATCATGGTCTTCGATAGCCACAATGATGGCCAATCATCGGTCTCTATCATCGGTGAGAAATATTCACCAAGAAAACTAAAATTTTGTCATTCAAACAACAAAAAGTGTATTTTACTTCAAGAAAAATATGTTTGGAATGGGAGTCCATGTGAGGATTTTGTGTTCATGGCACCAGACGAAGGGATGTGTCTTCTTAAACATTGAATCATGGGACTGACCCTCTCATACACCACGAGAGATGCGAATCTCACAGTCCAGGTTCTGCCAGTCCTGAATGCCAAAGGAGCACAACAGCTGGCATGGACCTCGGCGATGAAGAGGCGTCCGTCAGCCCTCCTTGAATCTACATCGATCAAGGCCTTCAGCACTCAAGTAGTCATAGCCCATTCAAGATCTGTCTACCTTTTTATAACATTACATTCCACCTCCCCTTCCATAAGAAACATTGAGTCCCAAAAATCCACCGGGTTAATATGGTCATCCATCATGTTTGCTACCACGGTCCCAGGACAACGCTTGCTCGGACTATCACACAGAAACTCATGGTCTTCACAACCAATGGTCCATAGCCTCCTCGAGATGAGTGCTCGGTCGATAACCTCTTTGTAATTAGATCGCAAGCTCGCCTCGACTCACTGTATATCTCGAGCCTTGGAGAACCACCACACATCTCCTATAGTCCCAATCTCTTCAGACCCGGACGATTTGAGAGAGGCATAAAACCCACGACGCTAACTGCTATAGTCTCGAGTCATGGCTCCTCACAATGATTGGCCATGTTCCGAAGCCATTCCTGTGTATGACCTCCAAAAAGATTACTCGGGGTCTTTGAATGTGTTCGAGACTAAAAGCATACGAGTCTATGATCTGAAAGAGTTCCTCAAGAAGAAATTGCAGGTCCTTTGATTTGAACCGAGACCCTAAACAAAACGAATGCACTCGCGCTGCTTCAACTATCCCTTCCCTTCCCTTCCCTTCCATCTTACAAACTCACCATTACGATAGAACAACAGAAACATTGCTTCATCGAACCAATACACTGCACATGAGAGTACCTGCCGGCCCTTGGTCTAATAACAGAGAAACTGAGATCTGGGAAAGAACTCATTTCATTGATTATTTTCTCTCTACATTATTCTTTTTTACATCAAAACTGGGGCGAAAGGGCCGAGTTAATTAGGTCATATAAGGATATTAGCAGAGGTCAAAATTTGATATCTAAGAGCTATTTTTACACGAGGAAAGGTAAAAACATGGAGAGGGAGGGCCTAATTAAGATGCAGCAGCTAGAGGAGGGAGCGATTGAGAAGCTCCTCGGAAGAAACTCGGAGACGAAGTCGTCATGGTATCGTCCCTAGCCTCCTCATCGTCGTCTTCTTCGGCATCCCACAAGAAGTGCGCGTACGAAGCCATAACATAACTGCACCACCACCAAAACCAAAACCGTTCAATACAACCAACTTCCATAAGCCATACATGAACCATACTTGCAATTTCAAGAACAACCATAGTGGTAGCCAAATCGTTCAAATCAGTTCAACTAATCCTTTTCTTTCTCTAGTTATGTCCAAGCATTCAGGCTCAAATCACAAAATTGAATCCTTATTAATAGCTGACAAGATTGCTTACCAATCATCAGGGGCGGCTTTAACGGCCCGATCAAAGTAATTCTCCGCCCGTTCCGAGTCCTTATGGCTCTGCCATATCAGGTCTCCATACATGGACAGAACGTTTCCATCTTTCGGGTTCGCTAGAATTGCTCTCGCGCAGTACTCTTCGGCCTTCTCATGATCCCCTCGAACCTAATTCAGATTTCAAACCAAATCGTTAGAATAGAGGATTAGCTACATATCTCATGTTCCACCATCAAAGCCACATCGCTGAACAAAGAACAAAGATAAACAATTCAAGTCAAAGTTTCAAAAAGCTGTCGCTCTAGAATCCAATTCACTCGTATCAATATGTATATTATACATCAAATAGCTCCAAGCCCTTCTTCTAATAGAGAAGGAAGCCCACATAATTCATAACTTTCTGCTAAGAACCCATTTTTTTCTTGGTTTTTTTTTTTTTTTAAGGAAGAAAAACACTTCACTCGCCTCTTTCCCTTACTAAACAAACAAGAAAGACAGAAAACCAATTCTCACAACGCAAAACCAAACCAAAAATCAAAGAATCACAGGCAAAAAAAGATCATATTTTTAAGAAAAGCAAACCTCCTTCAAGAACCTCGCGTAATTGCCAAGAACGAGAGCATTCCCAGGATCAGCCTCGATCATCCTCTTGTAATACAAATCCGTGCTCTCCTTCCCGCCATTCGCATCCCAATCCTCGAACCTCCCCCCACCGTCACCGCCGTCCGATCCTCCGCCGCCGCCGCCGACGACCCCGCCCCCGACCAGGACGCTCGGGAAACCGGCGTCCCCCACCCGGACCCGGCACCCCGCGCCGGCCCCCTCATCGAGCCCCACCTCCTCCACGTCCTCCAGCGTGATCCCATTAAGGATCCCCGCGATGGGGGGCTTCCTCCTGGGCGGCACCGGGACGATGTCCAGCAGGTTGGACTCCGACCGGGCCCTGGCGACCCTCCTGCCCCTGCCCGGGAGGAAGTCCTCGACGGGGGAGAGCGCGGCGGAGGGGGAGGCGGTGAGCGAGATGGGCCGGGCTCGGGCCACGGCGGCGGGGTGGTGGTGGCGGCGGGCGGCGGCCGCCGCCTCGGGCTCCGGCGAGGCGGCTTGCTCCTTCGCGTGATGGGGCGCCCACGAGTTGAGGAGCGGCGTCGATGCGCTCCGCAGAAGCATCTCCTCTTCTCCTTCTCCTTCTTCTTCCCCCCTCTTTCGCTTTTCCGATCTCAGAGGAACAACGCAGATAGAGAGAGAGAGAGAGAGAGAGAGTGTGTGATATTTTTAGAGAGAGAGAGAGAGAGAGGTTGAAGAAGAAGAGGTGGCGCGTGGTTCGCTTTTATAGGAGGAGGAGGGCGGGGAGTACGGATGCGATCTCGGCCGTCGGTTCGGAGTCCCATCGAAGGGGCGGAAATGACCCGGGGGGGGTTTTCTCTCGGGAAAGGTGCACCTGAATGTCGGCACGCACGTTGTTTTCCGTTTTTAGATGAGGCCGGTTTCCGAGGAAAGGCCTCCTCAGTTGTTGTTTTGAACCTTTAACACTCTTTCTTTATTTAGTAAAAAAATGTGATATATGTTTAAAAAAAAAAGGGAAAAAATCACCAAAAATCTCGAACTTTCCCATCCGTGACACATTTACCCCGAACTTTTTTTTGTGACATCAGAAATCCCGAACTTTACATTTTGTAACACATTTACCCCAATGTATTTAGTCCATGGGCATTTTCGTCTTTTTTGCTTTCTTTTTTTTTTTCCTTTCCGGCGAGAGCGGCCCTCGCCGGCGTCGGGCGAGGGTCGCCCTCGCCTGAGTCGGGCGAGGGCCGCCCTCGTTCGACGCCGGCAAGGGCCCCCCTCGCCAGATCCGGCGAGGCCGACCCTCGCTGGGCGAGCGAGGGCGGCCCTCGCCCGACTCGGCGAGGTCGACCCTCGCTCGACGCCGCCGAGGGTCGACCTCGCCTGAGTCGGGCGAGGGCCGCCCTCGCTGGCCCAGGAGAGGGCGAACCTCGCCCGACGCCGGCGAGGCCCCCCTCGCCGGAAAGGAAAAAAAAAAAGAAAAAGCAAAAAAGACAAAAATGCCCATGAATTAAATACATTGGGGTAAATGTGTCACAAAAAGCAAAGTTCGGGGTTTTGGTGTCACAAAAAAAAAGTTCGGGGTAAATGTGTCACAGATGGCAAAGTTTGGGGCTTTTGGTGGTTTTTTCCCTTAAAAAAATGATCATATTTTTTAGAAAAATTGATGGTATTTTTCGATATTCGACTAAAATCTAAAAATAAATAAATAAATAATTTTTATTATTTGGAAAGGAAATAGTTTCCCTCAATTATGTAATCAAATGCCGAACAGGACCTTATTCAAATTTCCCCCTCCGAAATCGCAAATTCCCTCCTCAATCCCAAACCCTAAATTTCCTCGCCGGTCAAATCCTCCCTCCCCCAGCAAATTCTCTCACCCCGATCCCATTCCCCCGGTGAATCGAGCCGGAATTGGGTTCGCGACCGACTCCAAGATCCGCACCTCCCGTTCCCCCATTTTCTCCCTATGCTACCCCTCGGCGTTCTTCCCCAACCCCTAAACCCTACTCTCTTTTCGCGCGGTAGATGCTGCTACTCCACCTCTGCCTCGCCTCCTTCGCCGTGGCCGCCGCCGGAGCCTTCCAACCTCTCGGCTCGCCTCGGCTTCTTCGTGCTCAACTAGATCGACACAATTGAAAGGAGCACGAGCGGTCTGACAAGGACGAGACCCTCCGGCGGAAATGCGCCGAAATGCAACCCTGTTGCAGAGAACGAAAAAGTTCTCTTGGAAAACATTTTACTAGAAACAAACATAGCCTAAGTCGCAATTCATATGGTGTCGTGTATTCAACACCACTCGAACTTGATTATAAAGCTTATTTCTCGATAAAGTAGAAATGCAACAGTTTGGGTTTCAATCTTTAGATTGGTGCTTCATGTTCGAATCGCATTTTTGTTTCGTATCAGAAATTGCCATACTCGCGGCCATTCGAGGCAAGAAAGACAAATATGTGAATGGACCAAATTGAACGAATTGCCCCGGCATTAATGAACATTATCTCGAGTGACCCTTAATTTTAGAATTGGTGCTAATAATTGAACTCACAAAAAGAGGCAAATAAAACGTGAAACTCAACATTCCTTATCGGACTGGCTCGTACATTACCATTTCATTCCATTGCACGGTCGACATTGCATTGCCCCTTGCGCCATCGCTCGGGCGGGCCCCTTCATGAAGACGAAATCGCCCTAGCGGCGCCACCGGCATTAATGAACATTATCTCGAGTGATTAATTTTAGAATTGGTGCTGATAATTGAACTCGCAAAAAGTGACAAATAAAACGAGAAACTCGAAATCCCTTATCGGACTGGCTCGTACATTGCCATTCCATTCCATTGCACGGTCGATATTGCATTGCCCCTTGCGCCATCGCTCGGGCGGGCCCCTTCATGAAGACGGAATCGCCCGAGCGGGGCCACCGCTCGCTCGCTCGCTCGATGGAGCGCCGGCGGCCGAGATTCGACGCCCCCACGTGATCTCCATCACCCCCTTCCCCCCTTTTTCGTAACACCGCAATTTATCATCTCCCCCGCGAACCTGAAAACGAAAGAAAGGCGACCTTTCCCCATCTCCATTTCGGCGTCGTAAGTCCCCTCCATGTTGGGCAGTATTAACGGTTTTGCCACTGGTGCGCGCGAGTGGCTGGGCTTCGCTGTTTGTGGGCCCTGGTGGTCGCGCTAGGCTCAATTTGATTCGTCAACTCAAATCTCAATGCATCTTTCTATTGAGCGATTGGGACTGCGTGGGGGCATTTTCGTCATAATTTTCACATAGCATGTTAAGTCTACACACAAAGTTGGTTAGGTGCTTTGAGAGTCATGGACGCCTCAATACTCAGATTTGATTAATTTTTCGACATGTTTCTAGCTTAGCTTAAATCCGAGCTCGAAATCGAGCTTGCCGATACAGTGAGTCGGAAAAAAAGTGATGTCGCGATTATATGGACGATTAGTGTATAAGAGAAAACTCGACTACTCGATAAATTGGAGCTACTCAAGTCGGGTATTTTTAAGTTTGAGCTCCACTAGTATGAGCAGTCAAAGAGGATCAAGCTAAATTTGAATGATTCGTGTACTCGGGATTGCGAAAACATGTCATGGTTTTGGTGGCTCGCCTGCACGTGCCACGACGGTCCAACGACAATTTTGGGCGGGCCTAGGCATGTGCTTTCGACGCAAAGGAAGATATACTTGGAAAAAAGGATTTCAAAAGATAAGATTATTCTGAATAATGAAGTACCGTTTACAATGTCTCAAGTGCCTATTTATCCGGGAAAGTTTTCAAAATGCGCCCCGAAAATCTGCAAAACACGTCCGAAATCTTTGAAGGCCGAGAAATCAAGGAAAGCACACAGAATTTGGAGGTTTAAACATTGCCCAAACCGGCGTTGCCCGTGTGAGCTCTGAAGATATCGCAATCCTCTTCGATTACACGTCATAATTCCTCCCGGATCTTTTCAAGTTGACCATACATTTAAGGTGTGGACGGGACCGCCCGCTCTTATGACGCTCAAGGGTTTTTGCTGTTCTACATCGGCATTTCAGGTACAAGTCCCGCTTGGTTGGGTAACAAATTGTGTAAATTTTTTTTTTTGCCGAAAGACGAGTGCCGGCAACAAGCCGTGCTCGATTCGAAAAGTCTAGTCTCAGTCTATCCATGGATCGCCCTCTGCTCACAACAAGCCACGCTTGACTCGACTGGCGCTCACCATGCTTTGATATGGCGGCTCGCGCTCGACACTCGAGTGAAGAAGACAAAGCGCGATTAATGATTTCGTGAAAATCGATAGGGGGGTGGTGGGGGGGGGGGGAGAACACGATAAGTGGAGCCCGGCGGCCGGATTCAACGGTGCGAGCTCGAGCCGAGGGTCGCGGCCATCGCCCGCCAAGGGACGAAAGGCCAATCCCGAAAGCCCCACTGGGAACATACTTTTAGGGGCCCCAGTGATCGAATGTGCGCTTTGTCATGGAGAAAGCGATCGATCGATCGCAAGTTGGCCCGGCCCCGGGGCAGTTCGGTCATTTCACCTTCGCTTGGGGACATTAGAGATATTTTCTCAAAAAAAAAATTTTTTTCCTTAATTTCCCACCTTTTTTTTTTTTCACTTCCGGCTACTTGGGTCTTGGTCGAACTGTTTTGCCGGTTTTACTATCATGGGAAAGTGGAGAGGGGTTTTGGAGGTGGGGGCACATGATTGAAGTAGACATCTTTTGTTCATGAGCCAAGATTTCATAAGTAGGAAGGAAGAAAGAAAGGCTTCTTTCTCTTGCGGGCTCGCCGTGTAAAAGTAATTGTGACGGACGTGATATTATTGATTGATTTTAATAATTATTACTAAAAATTGTATTGGCTATGAAAAGTTTGCAGATAGAAGATGAGAGGTTGCAACTTTTAAGAAGATAAAATATTCAATATGCTCTGATGGCAAGCACTTATCGAAGACATCTATTGATAACTTATAAGAGGAGTCTGGTCCTCTATTCATCAACACAGACAACGACGATAAGTTGTATTCTATTCTCATCGTTTATTCTATTTTTGCAACAATCGAAAGCTCGAGGTTATTGCTTTCTTAAGGTTATTACTTTTTCGAGGCTATTGGTATAGATAAATGTATGCCTCAATCCCTCTTTTTGTCGAACAAATCATGAAGATCTTAGATTCTTTTATTATGAAATTCCGCATTATCAATTACATTATCACTAATAGGGTGCCGCCGTGTACGGGCTCGATTCAGATTAAGTTTGACAAGGCATCGCATGACAACCCGAGATTTGCTTCGGCCGTCGGATTGCTTGGAGATGAAGGGTGCGACTGACGGAGTCGGCTTTAGTCTAAAGACACACTTAGGAGCCGTATTTGTTGGAACGAACGAGGCTTTTGCTTTAGGTCTCTAAAAATATCGAGTTCACGGTAGATTCGAAGGCCGTCGTGCAGTTGCTCGTGCCTCCTTCCGCCGATAATCGTAATCCTCGTGATCAAGGTCTACTTGAACGCGAGGATACTCTTGTACGGGGTGCTTAACACATGTTTGCTTCGAACTAAACTGTACAGTAAGACTCTTCATAACAATTAAGAGGAGTTTCATGAGCCGCGTAACATCATTTTGGCGTCGAAAATACGGCCGTTTCGGTCTCCTCTGTCACCCATTCAAAAGAAGTTTCGGAAAAGGTCGGAAAGAGCCCCCAACTTGAAGAGTGTCCTTAAGCATATGGTGATGGAGAAATCAGAGCAAAACATCATGGCCATCTCCATCTATGGAAAGCTGATGATAACAGGAGAGACTGTAAAGAGATGTGGTTTCAAGATAGCAAAATCTTTTGCAAGGACCACTGGAGAGACAGAGACAGAGAGAGAGAGAGACTTTTCAAACCCCATTAACAAATCATGAAGATCTAAGATTCTTTTATTATGAAATTCCACATTATCGATTACATTATCACTAATAGGGTGCCGTCGTGTACGGGCTCGATTCATATTAAGTTTGACAAGGCATCGCATGGCAACCCGAGATTTGCTTCGGCCGGCGGGTTGCTTGGAGATGAAGGGTGTGACTGACGGAGTCGGTTTCAGTCTAAAGACACTTAGGAGCCATATTTGCTGGAACAAACAAGGCTTCTGCTTTCGGTCTCTAAAAATATCGAGTTCACGGTAGATTCGAAGGCCGTCGTGCAATTGCTCGCGGCTTCTTTCGCCGATAATCGTAATCCTCATGATCAAGGTCTACTTGAACACGAGGATACTCTTGTACGGGGTGCTTAACACATGTTTGCTTCGAACTAAACTGTACAATAAGACTCTTCATAACAATTAAAAGGAGTTTTATGAACCGCGTAACATCATTTTGGCGTTGAAAATACGGCCTTTTCGGTCTCCCGTCACCCATTCAAAAGAAGTTTCGGAAAAGGTCGTAAAGAGCCCCCAACTTGAAGAGCGTCCTTAAGCATATGGTGATGGAGAAATCAGAGCAAAACATCATGGCCATCTCCATCTATGGAAAGCTGATGATAACAGGAGAGACTGTAAAGAGATGTGGTTTCAAGATAGCAAAATCTTTTTGCAAGGACCACCGGAGAGAGAGAGAGAGAGAGAGAGAGACTTTTCAAAACCCATTAACAATTTGTGCGAAGGAGATTCCATGTGATTTTGGGCAGGGAAAATGTAAGCCTCAAGGAGCATTTTCGATGATATGTACAGGTGCGGACAAGTACACAAGTGGAGGAGAAACATCAGTCTCCATCCACTTCCTACTGCCTGAGAGAGATCAGTTTGTTTCATTCCATTTCACGTCGCTTTTGCTTTGGAAAAGATCATCATGGTGGACCCATTCACGTGCCTCGGAAAAATTATCTAAAAAGTCTTAAATTTATTGCACTTTTATCAATTCAGTCGTGAACCTTTTAATTGTGCCAATTGAATTTTAAATATTTTCACATTTTGCTAATGGGGTCAATCTGGTCAATTTTTAGTGGAAATCGCTAACATTAACGTTAGCCGTCTTACATAGCTCGGTCGGCGTTAACGTGAATAATTTTTAATAATATTTTAATATTTTTTTCGAATTTTTATTTTTAATTTTTTTCTTTTCCTCCCTTTTCCTTCTTTACTTTTTTCATTTTCCTTTTTTCCTCCGCCGGCCATTGTCGGGCCTCATCAATGGACGGCGACCTCCGCCGGCCTCAAGCAAGGGCCCTCACCTGAGGTTGATGGAGTTTGCTGGCCATTGATGAGGCCCGATGATGGTCGGCGGAGGAAAAAAGGAAAATGAAAAAAGTAAAGAAAAGGAAAGGAAAGGAAAAAAGTAAAGAAGGAAAAGGGAGAAAAAGAAAAAAATTTTTAAAAAATTTAAAATTATTAACATCAGCGCCGGTCGTGTTATGTAGGACGGCCGGCATACACGTTAGCGATTTCCGGATTGATTCAATTGGCAAAACGTGAAAATGTTTATGACTCAATTGTCACAATTAAAAGGTTCATGATTGAATTGATAAAAATGCAATATGTTTAGGATTTTTTAGACAGTTTTCCCAACATACTTCTATTTGCCTTCTTCTTTTGCTAAAATCTTTACAAGTTTCGGTTCCTCAAGCACAAAAACTGTTCAGTGACCACGATGCCAATGAAAGGCACTACAATATGAAACGGTTGGTTTGAAATCAATTGGCATTAGACACGGCAAGGGACTATGCTCGAATCGCAAAGCCCGGCGGGATCGATCGTATTCATCTTAGACTTGAATACAAATCTAGCATGTGAGATTGTCATCAGATAATTGGTGTTGATTTCATTGGTCGAGAAAACTAAGAGATGTTCCGCTTCCAATTTTAGCTCGATGCACCAGCCATTCACTTGTCTCTGCACTACACTGAACCTCATCAGTTGACCCAAAAGCATAATGAACCTGGTCTTTCGGACCTGTTCTGCGTCAGAACACAGCACAGAATTGTCAACCGGCTAATCGGTAAAACCGTGGTCAGGTTTGCTAGGTGCGGTTTTGAGTTCCACAGACGCAAACTTTGTAGGAAACTCAATCTGAAGAGCCAAACGAAGCACGCAACCACCATCAACTCTTAAATTGTGTCGCGACACAATTGGTTTCGCAAGATAAATTTGCCTTACTAGCATTTCCAAATCTCTTAGTTACACCTGTTTTAGTCCCAATAACCATGACACTTTCAGAATGAACAGCCGAAAAGGTGGGTAGAATGAAAAGCCTTCGCCTCATCATAAGATGTGCTGCTGCATCAGTACACTCGTTGAAATGCCATTACTGCAGATATCCAGATTACCGATGCCATACATTTCTCCAGTGACAGAAAGGGGGTGGCGAATTCACAGAGGTGCTTACAGTGTCTTTTGGTATAAGCTAGTGGTTCGCTTATGGTTCAGCTTTAACCTTCACATCGCCATTTGGCAAGGAACTTTGTGCTTGAGCCAGCCGCTTCGCTTCCTGTATCAAGAAAACACTATGAGGACTCTTTTTCTCAGATCAGAAACATTTTTATAATACATTCACCATGAAATGAACCACTAGGGGACACTGCCCAGTATCGACATTTCCATGAATACAATCAGCTCTACTATTGCGAGATTAGATACAATCAGCGACTTTTTAGTTCAAAAGAGCCTGCCAAGCTCAAATTGATTGTCCAGAGAATGAACATGAATTGATGACTGATTTATAAAATTGATGACAAAATGATGGTGAAGACTTCATCTAGTGTTGGATATGACTACTTGTTTAAAAGCCCACTAATAATTTTTCAAAGGTTAGTATAATAATTTCATGCAACCTTCACATACCCACCATTACACTCTCACTTTATGAGAAAACGAGCACGGGAAACTGGCCACAAATAATCATGACTTTTATGGATGCTTAATCCCCGCCATCAATTATTCATGATATTTTTGCACTATATATTCCAGTTATATCTGTTTGTCATTATTAAAAGATTCTACCTGACAAGAAAACTAAAATTGAAGATATAAAGCTACACGTTTCTGAGCCTCTAATGCTTCTGAGCTACGGTACTCCTAGGCCTACCCCCTACTTAAAATGCCATCTGCAACATTGCTAACTACCTACCCCATATAACTCATCCTTTGTGATATTTGATGATGGATAGTCAACTTAAACACTCAAAGATTCCATTTTCTTCAGAGATTGCTTTCAAACACACAAGCCAAGGGATGACTACCCAAAAGTAAACAACTGGAGAAGAGGAACCTAAATGAAATGAGAACTTACAGAAGCAGAAGGTGCTCTTATCTCTCTAAACAACAATGACCAATAATAGATCCAACCATGTTGCATGATGCTTTTAGTTTTCAAGCTTTAAGTCCAAGCTTAAGGAGGAGCTCGGAACGAACTTTTCTTTTCAAGCTTTTTTAACTTTCAAATTCATATTTTGAAATTAGACTTGCATTCAAAATCAAACTCCTTAAATCTATCAAATTGTGCACATATTACATTTAAAATCACCTACCTGTATTTCTTCATAAGTTCTTAGAATTAAAATAATTCTTCATATTAGCGAAAAAGTAAAAGATGCTTTGAGAAAAGCTTATAGATGAACCAACAGGGCAATTACTTTTAGCATTTGTAACGTATCTAATACTAGTCACCTCAGAACTTTTCAAGACATACAAACATTTACATTTATAGTCATTGAAATTAGTTCAAACTTTAGATGAAGTTAAAATTAATTATTTCTGAAGTTGCTTGTCTGGATGGCTTTTAGCCCAACGTAAAACGCACTTAAGTTGGTATCAGTGCTTCAAGATTATATTTTCATCAAAAAGGAGTGATCTCTAACACCAAAGCCAAGTTATGTGAAAAAGCAATAATAGCCCACTGGAGGAGAGGACCTAGGAATAATAAGAACTTACAGCAGCAGAAGCTGCTCTTATATCTCTAAAAGAATCAGCCTCATCTGGGAATGCTTGATCAAGTTCCTCTAGAAGATGCCTGCGTAGACCCTGATAAAGGTGAAAAACAAAGATTAGTAAGAAAACACTTCTTGTATCAGGAAACAAGGATTGTGTACGTTTTACAGAGAAATGGTACCTTGAAGGCATCAGTTTTTCCCTTTGTAATTTGATTTTTCGCAATGCAACTATTGATGACGTCCTTTGTAAATCCATCTGGATTCTTGCCATCATCAATCAAGCTGAATAACAGCAAACAACAAGTTGAATGTGCGAACCTAGAAATGCTTCTAGCAAGTATTAAAGATCGAGATCGCCGACTCACTTAAGGACCTCCACTGGAACCTGAATGTTGCACTTTTCTGATAATTTCGCCATGTTGTCGAGCTCCAAGACAAGAGAATTTCTGGACGCCCCAGATTAGTGAGATCAGTTGAAGTATACATATAGAAATCTTCAGAACTTCTAAGTCTAGTGCTACAGAAGGAGCTAAGATTAAGAGCAAAATTACATGCGCTGGAGGAGAGGGAGTTGAAGGCCAGTATTGAAGGATGAGACATTGAGGTAGAGTTGATGGAGGAGACCCAGAGTTTTCTGGATGGAATTGATAACCTGATTGAGGTCCTGCTTCGGATCATCTTGTGAAGTTGTAACATCATTTTGGGGATTTATCACCCCATTTCCACCACTCACACCCATGCTTGCCACAGTATTCTGTGATGGATCCATATTAGTTATTTCTCAGTCTTCCAATGTAAAGCAATCAATAATCTGTGTCGTCTACTGATCACCTGCACAGATACAAGAAATGAAACAAATAATTTTAATGGAGTGAGGAATGCGATACACGTTATGTTTGTTAGACAGAGAGATTTAAAGAACTAAATCCATATTCCCTATGTCATATGAATGTGCCAACATGCCCTGAAGCCAACATCATGTGTACTAAAAAGAGAACCACAAAACACATCATGTGCATTAGATAAACAGGTTTAAAAGGACTACATCGCGATTTCACATATCAGATACATGTACCAACATGCAATGAATAAAAATTTGTATATTAGATAAAAACCACCACGCACACCATTTCTATTAGAGTTCCAATATCACAAAATGCGCCAAAGTGCAGCGAAGAAAACATAGACTCGGGATGCATTAGAAATAATTCGCGACTTCTCTAAGTTTAACCGTCAGACACAACTTCCTCTGCTAATGGCTAGGTAGCACCGACACGCTCACCGGACACGCCGGCGACACGCGAGTCCGGAGCAAAAGGGAGAAAGGGAAGAAAGAAAAAGTACCCCTCGCGTCAGATCTCTCGCTCGCCAGGGCAATGAACAAGGAACACGTACCGCATGATCCCGACCCCCCTTTCGACAGCAAGTGCCCCGTTGATCTCTGGAAGTGGTGGTGGCAATCGATGGTGTCGGCGATCGACGTCAACAACGAAGAGGAGGAGGGAGAGGAGGAAGGAGCCTTCGCGGTTCCGTCTCGTCCAGGACCTTTCCCACGCAAAGGGATCTCCCCACAAATCGGAGGCTCGGATGCTGCGAACCCCCACGACGACGAAGAATCCTCTCGGAGAGATGGCGAAATGGAGAGGTGGTGGGGGGGATCTGGGAATCGGTCGGGGATCGGGGGTAAGGGAGGATCTGTGGAGATCTAGGGTTTGGGATTGAGGAGGGAAATTTGCGATTTCGTCTGGTTGCGAGAGGGAGCGAGAGAAGGGAAAGGAAAGGGCTAATCTTTTTGCGGGCACGTGGGCAGAAAGGCGCCCTTACAGTACGACTTGGAGGAAGAAAACGAAACTGGGTATCAAAGTTTTACTATATTACACCTGTTAAATGGATCTTAAAATCCATATATAACCTGTTAATAAATGAATCAATACAATTTTGAATAGCCTAAAGTTTTAAGCTTATCATAAATGGATCTTAATGGGGTTGAGTGTGGAACCCATTTCCAATCCACCCATTAAGCCCACCCCATTTTATAAAAATAGATTTTTTAAAAAATCAAAATTATTTTTATTTTTATCCTTTTCTTTTCTTTCTTTTTTTCTTTTTTTAGACCGGTGGCCGCCACCGCCACAAGCGAGAACGACCTCGCCGGAGGTCGCGAGGCTGGGCTCGCCAAAATCGACTAGGCTCACCGGAATTGGGCGAGCTAAGGGTTTGCCCGAGGCCGGTGAGCTCGTCCTTGCCTGTGGCCAGACGCCGGCCGCTGTCATGGTTGGCCACTGGCCAAAAAAAAGGGAAAAATAAAAAATAAAAAATGGATTTTTTTAAAAATAAATATATATTAAAATTAATAAAATAAAAATAAAAAATAATTAAAAATTGTATTATATGAAAATTTTTTACTAGTATAATTTTTAAAAAAAGTCATAAGAAACAAAATTTCCTATATTGAGTTAAATATAGAAGTGTTTTAGCAATATGGGTCAAGTTAGGTATGGGTCGAGTCGGGATATTTATATTACAAATAAATGGATCATAAACGGGTTAATGAGTCAATTTGGGTCGGACCATTTATGACTCGACCCAACCCACCCGTTTAATAGGTCTGATTCACACGGCATAATAAAATATGTCATATATAATTTATCAAATTAATTTGATTTTTTTATTATTTATTTAATGGTGAATTTTTATTAAATTAATTTGATTAAAATAATCATAAAAATGATAATTTATCATGTATATATAAAAATATATATTTAATATACAATGTATCCCAACGTGTAAGAATTATCTACCTTTTGAAAAATGACGTGTCGCGTGTCGCGTCGCGTATGGTATCGCGTGTCGGTGCTACGTAGGGCTTCCGCCAGCAAAAAGGCAAGAACATGCTGACAAATGTTCAAGGACTTCTTCTGTCCCTCAAAATCACATATAAAATGATAAAAACAAGGAAATTTGATGCCATGTATCTAGGTGAATAAGAAGGAAAAAAATCAACCAGCATTAAAAGTGGGTCGCAAGGTCTCACCAAAAAGGCATCCAGATCTGATTACATCACACAGAGCATATGTTGGGCTTTCGCCGAAAGACATGGGGAGCAGAATAGCTGCATAGAAACATTAATCGATGGAATAAGTTCAAAGGGAGGTCAAAGTTTGAAGTTTTACATCCATGGTATTGAACTTAAGCATAAAATGACATTCGATCATTCTTTTATTTATCCTCTCCCAAAATGCCATTATAACATCGTGATATGGTCCAAAAAAACACCATCATAGAGAAAACAAAAGAAGTTTGCACAATAATTCGATAAGCTCCAAAACAACCATAAGATGCGGAAGGGGAAAGTCGCTACTGTGCCAAGCTCTCGCTCCTAAGACCCTAAATTCGAACCACTAGGAAAACCCAACACTCCTTAAACTAAATACATACAAGCCCAAGCGCGAAACCTTACGATCTCGGCATAACTCCGGCAAGCCCCTACATCGACTCATCTCCGAGCAATTACCCAAGAGCTAAAGACACCCATGAATACACAAGCTTTACCCTTAGAAACCAAAATTCAAACCAATATAAATAGCGCAAGAGAGGGTACAACTACAACGGGATCTTCGCATCCAAATTTGAACACAACCTTTTCCGATGGTAAACCCTCCAACCTCCATTAAGCAAAGACCCAGCCGTCCAGAATCAATGCAACATCCTCAAATCAGAATTAAAAAAAAAAAAAAAAACCCCCATCTCAAATTCGTCCATCTCAGCGCATCCAAATTGGGTTTCCCCCAACACTCAGCGTACAAGCTTCACGCACCCAGCAGAGGGATGTGCATCATCTAACCGGACACAATCCTCGTACTCAGGACAAATCATTTACCTTTTGTGTAGAAGAAGAACGTCAAAAAACAGTCTCGCTTTCAGATGCTAGGGACCCATTTGAACGAGACCCGGACAAGATCCAATCTAGAGAGGCTTCCCACGTATTGACCCGATGACTTAAACCAATTAAGTAAGTCAACCGCTTTCTCTTGATGAAGCAAAAAAGAGAGGTGTAAGATGGACCTAAAGTCATTTATCGCGTGAGATTCTGTGAGACCGCTATCAACTGTTCTAAAAGCTTAAACTGTTAGATGAATACACAGTTTAATATTTCATTAATCTAACATTTCCGTCACGTTTAGTCTGGTCTTTTTTTTTTGCCTAGTACTAAGCGTGGATATATTTAATTGAGGAAGCAAATAGGATCTGGAAAAATTTGAACTCAAAACTCCTGGCTCTGATACCATGTGAGAGTTTGTGGAATCACTGCCAACTGTTCTAAAAGTTTAGGCTTTTAGATGAAAGCATAGGGTGATAGAATATTTAAATCCCACAATATTTCATATGATATCAAAGCAGGAGGTCATGAGTTTGAATCCTTCCAAGCTCCTATTTGGTATCACATTTTTTTTTATCGGATGTCTCCGAAGAGACTGTTTGGTATCACATACTAGCTCACGTATGTTATGACATAGAGTATGTGCAGAGAGGATTGCTAAACAGAAGATCTGATACATCTAACTGGTAGATCATTAATTCACGAAAGGGCAACGTTAGATGCAAAGGATCTACATCTTGATCTAAGTTCTTGGGCGAAAAAGACATTTTGTACACAGATTATAAACCTTAGGATCATCGAACTCAGGGCACAAAAGGGATGATGATTGGCTTCATTCCTCGGAAGTATCGGGCCAAAAATGCCAATTGATTTTCTTTCTAATAGGTCTTCTACAGCTGTACTCATCATTTATCACCACTGGCCCTCTTCGGATAATCGAGAGGGGAGCGAATAAAGAGAACAAGGAAAAAGATGTCGATTATTGATTTTCTTTGAGTTTTTTGGCGTCACCTCGAAACCCTACTCCTCAAGCTAACGTCTATCCTTTCGACCAAAAAAAAAAAAAAGCTAACGTCTATCCTCGGAGATGGCGCCTTTCAGGACAGGTCATGGATCCACCCGGAGCACAGGCTCCAGCCAACCGATCGGCGCGACCTGTTCTACTGCACGGCGTGCAAGGAGATCGGGTTCGGGCGCTCGTACTCCTGCGAGCCGTGCGCGGTCCACGTCCACAAGGAGTGCGTGTCTCCACCTCCCGCCCTGTCCCATCCTCTACTGGAGTATACCGATGATCTCTCTTTTGTTCGAAGCATCCAAACTTATGACACCGAAACCGACACCGACACCGAGGCCGACACCGACACCGACGGCGGCAGCAAATTTTGCAGGGCATGCTCCAAGCCGCTGCGTGGTTGCGGATCCATGTCTGCCGGTGGAAAGAGCAGCTTCCACCCATGTTGTCTTCACCTTGATAGATTCATAAAAGTTAACGGGTAAGTCATTTGTTTGTTTTATCTACTTAGGTGAGTTATTTATCCACATGATGGAGTCGGAGAAATTCTACAGCGCTTGATTTAAACGATATCTTTATTATCATATGCAAGAAACAACATTGCGTAGTAAAATAATGCAAGTTACTTTTTTGTTTAAGACCGATATAAAAAAATTACTATTATTGAAGTAATTTTAATTTAGTGAAGTATTTTTAGTTTATTATGTGAAATTCCATCGTTTCAAGTATGAACACTCTAGAATTTACTTATTACGTCAGTATTTCACTTTATAAAAACTTAATTTTATGAAAGCTTATGAGTTCTTACTTGTCTAAGTTACAAACAAGAAAAAATGACATAAATGGTCTCTGAACTTTAGTTTAGTGTGCAATGTCGTCCCTAAATTTTTAATTTATTTGATGTGTTCTATGAACTTTAGCTCAATGTGAAATGTTGTCTTTGTGATTCTTGAACTTTCGGTTCATATTTAATCTAGTCCCTAGATAATATGAAAAATGGTAACATTAAATATTTTCATATAGTCCGGAGACTAGATTGAACGTGTATCAAAAGTTTATGAACCACATTAAATAAATTAAAAGTTTAGGAATGACATTGCACATTAGGATAAAATTCAGGGAACACGTTGAATAAATAAAAAATTCAGGGATGACATTGCATAATGGGCCAAAGTTCAGGGACCATTTGTGTAATTATCCCTATAAACAACTATAGTAAAAGATGAATGTTTCCTATTGATCCTTAATTACGAAAAAGTAATTAAAATAAATTTTGGTAGATTTGTGTAAAAAAAAAAATGTGGTCATTACATGTGAGATTCAAGTTTTGTTTTGGTTCTTGATAGGGAGAAGCTCAAGCTTAAGACGAAGAACATACCGTGGAAATGCAACTGGTACAAGAAGGAGTTGATCCGGGATCAGAGAACTGTTATCCCGAGCTGGTCATACGTCTCGGTGGGCAAGAATCGCCGTTTTCATGTTGGGTGCGTCCAAGACATGATGCTCGAGAGCTGGAGAGATGGCGGCATTGATCAGCCTGTACGAGGAAAGGAAGAGGACAGCACCGCCAACTTCACAACATGCCTAAGCTTCAAGATCAAGCTCCCCATTGATCCTGAAGAAGAAAGAGATGCCGACCCTTCGGAATCAGCGACGCAGAAGTTGGCGGATTACCTACTGAAGGTCCGCGATGGGAATGATCCTTTGACTGCGGCCACGGGAGATCCGGCAAACGAAACAATCGAGCTCCTCAGCGACGCCTTGGAAGCTCTCAAGAGTGGGGTGGAATCAGCGACGAAGAAGGAGGCGGATCCCAAAATGGACATCCGCCCTTCGAAATCAGAGAAGCAGAAAGCTGTAAGGAGTGGGGTGGGGTCTGGGTCCTGCAAGGTATGGGAGAGAACTAAGTTCCTGTGGCGAAAGCTGCTTCTCAAGATACGGCAAGGGATAGCCCGGCTGGCCGACAGTCCAGTCGGCCGTGCCGGCCGCAAGACCTGGACCACGGTCATGCAACCATCCAAGCTGTGGGAGTTCATCCGTCCCCTTCTGCAATGGCTTCACTCCATGTTATGTGAACTAGCAAGTCGGATGTTGATCGGGACGTACTTGCTGGCAGGTCGACTCCCGTATGATGCCCAGGCGTACTCGATGAATTAGGAAAGGAAAAGGAAATGTTCGAAGTTTTACAATTAAACGTTATAATTAAAACTCGTAGCGTCTCGTCTTGTGATCTCTCTCTAGTTTCGCCGAACTTTTGTGGTGTCAAAAGCAGTGCTTTCGGAGTAATGTGTTATGAATTCTTGGATGCTTGATGAACTTATTGGCTATGAAATGTTTGTGCGTACGTGCGTGGGCTACTTTGTTCCTTTTTTTTCTGGCCCTTTGTTCTTGATAAGTAGGTGGACATTTGTTTTTGGGGCCGAATTTTGAAGGCACTTGCAGGACATGAGTACTATGGGGGGCAATGATCAACATGCCTTGAAAATAGTTCATTAACTTCTCAAAAAGGTACGTGAGATCCTAAAAAAGATGGTCTGCACCCAATTATTCGCAACTAAACAAAAAAATGAAGAATTTGAAAAATATTTTCCTGAAAATGATCGCCCGTATCTATTACAAAAATGAATAAACAAAAAAAAATTTCATTGTCTACGAAAATATTTAGGCACAAATTATTGTCGATAATAAAAACATTTTGCATCGATATTATTTTTTCAGAAAATATTATTTAAATTAATTATTTTCCGTGAAACAAACGGGCTCTAACAATTTGAATATCTTTTAATCTGTGCGGTGCTAGCACTTAGTGTTAGCGGATTCAACAAAAGGAAATAATTCTATCGCAAGGAAAACTACATTAAACTAGGTTCATAATTGAGTGGAGTTATTGATTATAATTTTTTTTTTGTTGTGACCTGGACTTCTTGAGTTTTATTACATTGTTGGAAAAAATTAAGTGGTATCGAAACTCAAAAAAACAGTGAGGTCAAATTACATATACTTAAAAATAATAATGGGAGCAATTGGTTTCCAAATAAGGTAAAAAAAAAGCTGCCATACTTGCTTGGACCCAAAATACTTTTGTGCGCGTGTGGCGGGGGGATAGGGATCCGTCATGTGAGTATTTTGTTGTGGGCTCAGACAAGCCTGTACGTCGCCTGAAAGAGTTCAAACACCGAGCTAGCCTTCCTTTAATAGATCTTTCCCAAGGGGCGAATTGCATCGTTAGTACCGACCATACTATGCCTAACTAAATTTGAGCATTGAGTCCTTCGAGTGAGACAGACAAAAGGCTTCGGCACGCCAATTGGTTAGGTCTATCGTGGCCATAATCAGGAGAGTGGTATAAGCTCCCAAACAGCTTGTGTATGGGAGGGCAACCGCATCTTTAGAGATCCTCCAAAGTGATATTTTTCTTATCCCCATAATCTAGCATAAACACCACTCCCACAATTCAGTTGCGTCAACCCTTGTTGACATCTAGATTATCACCTTCAAGACTTCACATTTCATAAGTAGACTAAGGTGGTTTTGATTAATTAAGCTTGGGGCAAAGAGGTAATATGACCGCCATTCAAGGATAGAGAAATAATTTCAGCGCTCATTCAGCACATGTGCAATTGAAAGAAGGGAAAAAACCACAAAAAATCTCAAATTTTGTCCATTATGACACATTTACTCTAAAAACAATTTGTGACACAAAAAATCTCAAACTTGTACTTGTGTAATACATTTACTCTCCATCAAGCTTTCGTTAATGAACACTGTTAAAAATCTTCCTACATGTACAACGAAATGCAAATAATGTTGACATGGTGCCCACGTGGCTTAAATGAAATAAAAACGATGTTGTTTTAGTTGAAAAATCATCTGATAGAACTTTAACATAAGATAAATGTGTTACGCGGGTACAAATTTGAAGTTTTTTATGTCGCAAGAAATTTTTTTTGGTAAATGTGTCATAATGAACATAGTTTAGAGTTTTTAATGTTACAAATACAAGTTCGGGATAAATGTGTCACAGTGAATATAATTTGGGGTTTTTGATGGCTTTTTCACTTGAAAATTTCAAGAGATATTTGGCCAATGATTTGGAAGATAGGGGCCTATGAATCTGACTTTATAATATGGGAAAAGGAACAATCGAATTGTGCAGGTGGGATTTAGAAAGAAGAGGGAATAGATAATCTCAAAAAGGAAAGAGAATCATCCTTTCTTGCCTTTCAAGCTCAAGGCTAACACCTATAACGAGAATCATCCTTTCTTCCTCCACCGGCGTCATTTGTGTGGCCGTGTCTCGTCCGTTCATCTGCTCTGTGTCTTCGGTTGGTAGCTCCACCTAAGGTAGGATTGGGAAGTTGTTTTAATCCTAATAGAATTGCTATGGTATTCTAGTTCTAGTAGGATTGAATGCGATGCTTGGGTTATATATTTTGGTCATGCCCTAGGATATTCACGCACTACAAAAAAATATGAATTTTGCGACGAAAATTTGCGACGAAAATTTTTCGTCCCTAATTTGCGACAAACTTTGCGACGGATTTCTAATTCCGTCGCAAATTAGCGACGAAAATTTTTGTGACGGATCTATTTTCCGTCACAAATTAGCGACGGAAAATAAATCCGTCGCAAATTTGCGACGGAAACAAAATCCGTCGCAAAACTTTGCGACGGAAAAATAATTCGTCGCAAATTTGCGACGGAAAAAAAATCCGTCGCAAAAATTTGCGACGAACATAAGGTTCGTCGCAAATTAGCGACGAACTGAAAAGGTTTGTCGCTAAAATTTGCGACGAAATATGAAGTTCGTCGCAAATTTAATTAAAAAAAGTGCGCCCCAAAGCCCCGCCCTCACCCCCAATTTCTCTCTCTCTCGCTCACTGTTCTCCCTCTCTCTCCCTCTTCTCCTTCTCCTTCTCGCTTCTGCTTCTTCCCTCTCCCCCACACCCCCAAACCTCTCGCGCTCGCGCTTCCTCCCGCGACTCCTCCTCGCCCATGGCCTCCGGAGCCCTAGAGGCCGCGGAGCCCGAAGGGGCGGCGGCTCCTCCCCCCGTCGAGGGCAAGGAGGAGGAGCTCCCCGAGAAATCAGAGGTGGAGGAGGCAGATCAAGAGGACCGAGAGATCGCCGCTCCGGAGGAGGAGGAGGAGGCCGAGGCTTCCGACGAGGAGGCCTCGGCCGAAGATGACGACGGGGACGACGACGCCCCCCCGAAAGGGAAGGAGAGCGAGGAGAATCTGAAAGGAGGGAGCTCCGTGGAGAAACAGGGCGTGCCCAAGAGGAGGAGGAAATCGAGCGCGGCGAAGAATAAGCAGAGCTCTCATTTCAGCCTCCAGCCGCACCGTCTCGGCGCGCACATGGACGGCCTCGCTCGAGCAAGCTCTCCACCGTCTCGGCTGCCGAGACCTGCTCACCCCTCAGCTCGTCGCCCGCGTGATCGACCCTTTCCTGATCCCCCACCCCTCGCTCGCCCTCGGCTTCTTCGACTGGGCCTCCCAGCAGCCCGGCTTCGCTCACGACCCCCTCACGTACCGCTCCGTCCTCAAGTCCCTCTCCTCTTCCCGACAGTCCAACGCCGTCGAGGCCCTGTTGAAGCGGGTCACGGCCCGCGGGATCAGCCTCGACGCCTCGGCATACGGGCACGTCATCGCCTGTTTCGTCAGGAACAAGAGGACCCACGACGGGTTTTTGGTTTTCAGCGAGATTGGTTCGTTAGTTGGGGACGTTGGGCCCGACGTGTGTAACTTGCTTCTGGCTGCCCTCGCGTCTGATGGGTATATCGATAATGCAAGGAAGGTGTTCGATGAAATGATGCAGTGGGGTGTTCGTTTGAGCACTCTGGGATTGGGCGTGTTCTTGTTACAGAATTTTGGAAGAAGGAAAGCTACACAGTATGCAAAGAACTACGTTGTTCTTATTGCATTTTTTTCTCTTAAAAAAACTTTACATCAGATGCTCTTCTTAAAGAGCTGACACACGACAGTTAACAGCATAAAAGAAAGTACTCCACTAACCCCTAAAAAACAGCAACGTGCAGAAATCACCTATTGACTTGGTAAAACACAAAGCCATGTTCTACACCACTACAAAACAGACTCCTAATAACTAGGACGCTAAACAATTGACAATTAAATAATCCACGTGACTCAACATTCCCTCCCTTAAACTGAAAGTTTGCTAACATTCAGTTTAATACAACTTCTACAACTTCTGACACCAAGCAGGTTTCTCAGCTTTTGAAATGCAGCCAACTTGAGGGACTTGGTAAAGATATCAGCAACTTGATCCTCACTTCTGCAATAGATGAGATCAATAACTCCTTCCTTCGTCAGATCCCTCAAGAAATGAAACTTGACATCTATGTGCTTGCTTCTTCCATGTAAAACAGGATTTTTGGAGAGCTTTATTGCTGAACTATTGTCACAACAAATCACAGTAGGTCCTTGGCTCTCAACATGAAGTTCTTCGAGAATTTTCTTCAACCAAATAGCTTGACAAGCGCATGAAGTTGCTGCAACAAATTCAGCTTCAGTGGTTGATAAAGTGACAATCGGCTGCTTCTTTGATGACCATGAAATAGCTCCCGAACCCATCATAAATACATATCCGGAAGTGCTTCTTCTATCATCTTGATCTCCGGCATAATCACTATCAGTGAAGCCCATCAAGTTTGAGCTTTCTCCCTTCTTGTAGAGCAATCCAAAGTCAGCCGTACCTTGCAAGTATCGAAAAATTCTCTTGGCAGCAAAGAGATACATCTCAGTAGGATTCTCCATGTACCTACTTATGAGACTCACAGAATACATTATATCTGGCCTAGTTGAAGTTAAATACATCAAGCTTCCCACAATTTGCTTGTACATGGTGCTATCAACTCTCTTTCCTTCAGGATCTTTCACTAACTTCAAACCCACCTCTGTTGGTGTGCTAGAAGAATTGCAATTCTTCATTTGGAACCTCTCTAAAATGTCTTGCACATATTTTCTTTGGGAAATGAAGACTCCACCAGCAAATTGAACAACTTCTATCCCAAGGAAATAGTGCATCTTTCCAAGATCAGACATATCGAATTCAAGCATCATGGATTGCTTAAATTTTTCAAGCATAGCACTATCATTTCCGGTATAAATCAAATCATCAACATACAGGCAAACAATAAGCATCTTCCCTCCTTCTCCAGTTTTCACAAAAAGCGTATGCTCATATGGACATTTTCGGAGACCTTCCTTCA